CCCATGGAGGTGAGCAGGTGCTCCCTGGGAAGGGGAGGGCCCATGGAGGTGAGCAGGTGCTCCCTGGGAAGGGGAGGGCCCATGGAGGTGAGCAGAAGCTTCGGGAGCATCCTAATCAGTGGCTCTGTCCCAGTTTTTTTCAGCTTCCTTCTCAGAGGAAGTGGACTCACAGTTGAATCTGAGATTGTTGGACAAATGCAGGGAGTGACTGACGCCACCAGACTCTATAGCCGGGACTGTGTATCATCCCTCAGGGTACCGTGGTGCAGGTTCTGACATACTCCAGCCACATTAATAAGTCATGGCAGATGACACAGGGCCAATAAGCAACATCACACGTGAGCCTGTAAGGACCCCACCAGCAGCAGGGAAACAGCTGGGTTTGGTAGAAGGAGACACCAGACTTGAAAGCCAAGGCCAGACATGGTGATCCCAGCATGGGTGATCACCCAGCTCAGCCTGTGATCCCAGCACTCTGGGAGACAAAGTGGGTGGACTGCCGGAGCTCACGAGTTCGTGACCAGCCTGAGCAAGTGAGATCCCAACTCTACTAAAAGTAGAAAAATTAGCTGGGCATGGGGGGCTCCTGTAGTCCTAGCTACAGGTAGGCTGAGGCAGGAGGATTGCCTGAACCTGGGAGTTTGAGGTTGCTGTGAGCTGTGACACGATGGCACTCTACCCAGGGTGACAGAGTGAGATCCTGTCACAGTTCATTATCATCTCCGTCAAACACCGATTTAAGCCCTTCTCAGGCCTTTTACCTGCCCATATACAAGTGTATTGAAGCCGTCTCACAAATGTTTCACTGCTTTCTTCTCTATGTTAAGGCAAGTGATGACAACTCCCAATATCTCTTAATATTTTAAATGAAAATGAGGCAGGTGGGCTGAGTGGAGCGCATGATAAAGAGAAAGCACAGGCTCTGAGTCTGAGGGATGCCAGTTCCTGCTGGGCAGAAACGTGAGTCCAGTGCGATCTGATTTGTTACTTATAATTTTTAACTGACAGCAATAAACTTAAAACAAAACCAAGCACTGTAGAGCAAACAAAATTTGTCATGGGCCATATGTGTATGTCTGTGGGCTCACAGGATAGGAGTTCTCTTCCAAGGGGCCTCTGGCAGTTTCAAGCAGGACCCACTTTCAAGAGCAGCCGAGGGTTTGGTGCAAAGGTTCACGTTCTGCTCAGCTGTCCTGTCCGTGCTTTTGTAAAAGTGGAGGAAGTTCTCCCTCAACTTTGTGCATTAATGCAATCATGGGGTATAGTGTAGTGTTTTCATATACAATTTAAAATATTTTCATCAAACTGGTTAACATAGACTTTATGACATTTACTTAGTTATTGTGTTGACATTTATACTCTACTCTGCCCAGTGAATTCTGGGCTTTCTGAGCGTGTTTATGTCTGTACAAAGGCAGAGAATTACACACGTGTTTCCTCACTTGTATGTACCGGCTTGACATTAACTTGTGGATTTTCTGTCCTCGCATCTATCAGTGGCAGGGGGAGGCGTGGTGCTCACTTATTGTAAAGTGCTGCATAGACCCCACATCAGCAAGGACAGCTGTGTCGCTCCCAAGGACTTGACTTCTATAATCTTTCTCTCTCTCATGCCAGACAGACGCTACCTGGGACTTACTCATCTCTGTACTCCCCGCACCTAGGGATGTACCTCAAACGTAGAAGGTGCTCGACAAATACTTACTGTACTGAGATGAACTGAGCCACACCAACAAAACCTTTACCAGGGCTCTCAAAGCTCTTGCTGTGTGGCCTCAGCTCCCCACTGGCTCATTCCCTAGGGGCACCTGTTCCATTGTCCCAGGGCACCTTGACATATACTGAAACCTTTCTCCCCTCTACTCCTATGGAAAACGACTGATTGTCAAAAATCTAAATCTTGCTTTCTTTGGGAATCCTGGTGCACTGCAGTAAGTTTTGTTCTGTGTCCCACAGACCATAGTCTACTAGTCAGGCTTATGAGGGGCATCAGGGCAGGACAATTCGTGTGCTGCTTCAGCTGAGTTTTAACCCTCCCAAAGCACCACCCAGCTCTGCTGGTATACAAGGTCACTGGGCTTCCCCACATCACATCTAAAGGGGCACAGACTCAGGCCTGCAGAGGCCAGACAGGAGCAGGGGGATGTGAGGGCACTGGGAGGAGAATGACCAAGGGAAAGCGGAATCAGCCCCTACCCTGCCCTTCACTGCAGGAGGCAATGCAGACCCAGAGTTGCTGGACTTTAAAAACAGGTCAAAATATTGGAGGCGGGGTCAAGTAAAACAGGCCGGTGAGCCTGCAGCTTTGACCTTGTGTATAATATGCTATTTCTCTAGACTTTAGAGAATACTTTCCAAACACAACAGCAGGAAGACATGCATGGACACGTTGGAAGTCACTAGACAAGCAAACTGTAGGCATAATAGTTTGGGAAGCTCCAGGAGGTGAGTATTTCGTGATGCCCGGCCAGAACCCTGAGCTCTGCATCTCCTCAGGGAGCACAGTGGTGCCTGCTCTGGACACACCTGTGACCCTCCACACAGATATCACACTGGCTGTACCTTAAATACACATTTGAAAGGGATGGTTTGGGTTCTTGAGGAATAACGGGAGTCAGAAAACCACAACATGCTTTGAGCAAATTACCTGGCCTGGAAATACGTCATTCTTTCTTTTTTTTTTTCTTTTGCAGTTTTTGGCTGGGGCCGGGTTTGAACCCACCACCTCCAGCATATGGGGCTGGCACCCTACTCCTTTGAGCCACAGGCGTTGCCCACATCATTCTTTCTTAACAGAAACAAACACACATCACTCAAAGCATCCCACTGGGATGAAGATAAAACCGGGGATGAACGTGAATTTTGATAATTCGCATTATCATGGCCAGTTATTTTTCTCTTTGTGCCCCATATTCCTTCATTTTAGGAATTGTCTGTTTCTAGAAATATAGGATTTGTCAGTCATAGGGCTCCGTGAGTTACCATCATCTGGCCCTGCAGATGACCCCATTTCCTGGACGTTGTGGTGGGTCCAGAAGCGCCCGTGACTGAATCCCTGTCAGAGCAGAGTGAGTCCTATTTCAGAGATAAGGATGCTAGGATGGGGAGAGGGGGCAAGCTGTAAGGGACCATGTGGTTCTGGGTCCTTCCTGGAAGAAGTCACTTCCAAGTGATGAGAGAGAGAGAGAGAAGGGGAGGGAGGGAGGGAGACAGAGAGAGAGAGAGAGAGACAGACAGACAGACAGAGAGATACTCCTGATAACACCATTTGAACACAAACCCAGTAACGTCTGGGGCTACAGCAAACACTGAGCAGTAAGCTAGTGCTGTGGCGTCACAGCTCACAGCAACCTCCAGCTCCTGGGCTTAGGTGATTCTCTTGCCTCAGCCTCCCGAGTAGCTGGGATTACAGGCGCCTGTCACAAGGCCTGGCTATTTTGTTGTAGCAGTTTGGCCGGGGCGGGGTTCAAACCCACCATCCTCGGTCAGGGCTGGCACCCTACTCGCTGAGCCACAGGTGTCACCTGAGTAAGCTAATTTTTTAACTTGAGTAAGTTTCATTTTGTTTCCTGTAAACTGCAACTGAGGGCCTTAACTAATACAAGAAATGTTTTGGGTTCATATTTCTCTTTTAGGAGAACATGGATTCAAATAGGTTAAATTTCAAAAACAAGCAGCTGAATTGTACAATTGTTTCCTGGCCCAACATATGCTGACAATTCACGTTTTATCTACTATCTGTTTAAATATAGCCATGTCAGCAAGGAAACATTTTTCTGCCCTCACTCAGCACCACTTCTAAATATGATTTTGCACTTCTTATGTCAGTAATGCCATGTTCAGTACCAAAACTTAGAGACTAAAGAAAAATGTAAAGAGAAAAACCATATACTGCTCTAATTTCACAAGTCAGGATTAACCTGTCAGCTAATAATTCCCCTCTACACATGATGGTACGTTTGTGGATGTATATGTTAAATTAGGTCATCTATGGAAACTATTTTCAGTATGAATTACAATTTAAGAGAAAAAGGTGTGCTTATATGTACATGCAGTGAACCTCTGGGGAAGTGTTAATCTGGATGGAATATGGCATCTGTGCATTAATCTCCTGCAGAGAGTATTGTAAGAATGCTCACAGCTGAAAATGTGTGACTGAGAGTTTACATTTTGAAAATTAAAGATGCCCAGGCCACGTGCTTTTCAGCTCAGGCAGGACTTCAGACCACTGCGGGGCGGAGAGCGTGCTCACCTCCTCATTCTCGATTCTGAGTGTGGCGAGGCGGGACTGCAACTGCTGGTACCTGAGCGTCAGCTCCGCCTGGACGGGCTGCTGGGCGCTGACCTGGCACACCTGATGGGGATCAGAAACCACATCATGATTAGTAAAATGTGCTTGGGGCACCACAGCCATAAAAATGGTGAGCTTGTGTCTTCTTGGACAACCTGG